CGTCTCTTTATACCTAATTGTGCTAGCCAAGTTGTGACATCAAACATGTTTGGTTTAGATAAAAATAAATTTTTTTTTTTTTAATAAAGTTTGATTAAAAATCTAATAAATTGCATATTTGGATGAGATTAAATTTTTCGAAATGAAATTATATGATTTACTTATGAATTGGAAGCATATAATTATTTTTAATGTTGATGACTTTTCTATTCATCTTCTTCATTTTTTCTCAAAATTATTTGTCAATACCTAATAGATAATAAAAGTAAATGAATTCATTAGATATTAGTTAACATTAATTTAGCTTCACATGAAGGCCCTGTTTGGGAGGGATTAAATTTTTTTACAGTAAATCTATTCTCATTTTCAACCACACATTTTTCAATAAAATAATATTTTCCATCACATCAATAATTTTTTCTTCTTTTTCAACCACACATTTCCCATCATATCACTATTCAAAATCAATTCTTCCCTCAAAAATCTCTCCCAAACAAGCTCGAAAGCTACTTGTTCTTTTCGAGATTCGCGACAAATTCATTTTTCATTGATGGTACAATAGACAATATGGTATCAAATTTGGTCATTTTGGCAAGAGTTACCAAAGTTAAAACACTTCTCAATTGACGAGCATAAAATTAGCAATTTTTGTAAATTCCCCTAAAATAAAATAACACAAACTATACAATACATATCTAACAATGTTGTCACTGTTCCAATAAATTGTGTCGCTAACTCTTGGTCTCAATTTCTGTGTTGTCATATCATATAAACAATTAATGAAAATTTACAAAACATATTAATGTATAAAGGTTTAGAACAATTTACAGTATATTGTATATCGAGAAATCAAAATTTATATGCATGATAAATTAAGTAACGTATAGTTTTCGTTTAAAGAAAAATAAGAAAATTGTAAATGCATATACTTAACAAATATCATTTTCGAAGTAAGATGTTTTTATCGTAATGGTGGATGGTTTAATAATATTACTTGAATGATGAGCACAATTACTTTCTAGTGTCGTGACATACTAAGCTTATGTTTGGCTCAATTTTTTTTCAAAAACTCATTTTAATCGCAATTCTTTCGTAAAATAATTTTACACGTAAATCGAAATTCTTTCCTTTTTTTTTAACTGCGCATTCTAAAAAAAAATTACTATTTCAAAATATATTTTCTTACAAATATGGGTCTCAAACAGGGACTAAATATTAATACCATGATTTCTATAATTGTCGTCTTTAAAGTGTCAAATGACGTGATTTCTATAATTTATTTATGTTGATTGATATATTTGTAACGTCTTTAATTTCTTTGTCAAAAACATAACGAAATATGCTATCCTTCTCATCAATAGAGAAGAGATTTATTGAAGAGATTTACTAAAGATTATCGATAGCCACACTTATTTAGAAACTAAAAGATTGAAAACCCTAACAAATGATATCATTTTATAGCACATTTAATGACCACATGACACTCATATGATGATGATAGTTTGAAAGGATAAAATTGTTCCAAAAGATTTTCTTTATTTCGAAAATCATCCAAATAGTCTGGAGCCTGAATTTCTCACAATGGTGAACCAAAAAAGTTGAAGGGACAAAATATACATATAGATTATATATACTAAAAAAAATTAAAACATTTTAGAATAGTAGATCAATAAAAAATGTGTAATTAAAAAATAAAGAAAAATTTTGGATTTGTGTATAATATTATTTTATTGAATAATACGTGGTTGAAAAAAAGAAAGAGAAAAATGAATTTTGAAAATAATATGTATCAAACAAGGTGTTTCGCGGATTATCGCTAACAATTAAAAGAAAGGTTTGGACGATTATGTAAGAAACAAACTTCTTGAGACAAAGTCTCAAAAAAGAGTGTTTTATTTATGAAAATTACAATTGGGAAGAAACAAAACGCCTCCAAGGAGCACAAGCACACGAAGTAAATTGAAAGTTTGCACTTGGAAAATAAATGCAATGAAATTACATATTCTTTGTTGAGAGTGATTGATTCGGGGTCCTTCCTTCTATATCTTCTTTTCCTTTTTATACTCTTTTGATGACTTTCTATGTAGAATTGCTTGGAAACTACTTGGCACTCTATAACTACCCATTTTCTTCGTGATGGCAACTTGTCACGGAACTACCATTCGCAACTGTTGTTGTTACTTTTGTTGTTTAACCGCTTGCAATCAAGATTCTTGGATCGTGGGGGTGTGATACCGTCGTTTTAAATAATTATAAGACACCGTATTCGCTCAAATCTTGAGCGACTCAAAGGCTTGTGAGAGAATGAGATCATCGCTCCAAGCGACAGTAAGACGCTTCATTCGCTCAGATCATGAACGTTCTGTAGGTTTGGGCAATGATAGTACTTTGTTTATGAGTCTCCGCTATATTCTATAATGGTCTCATTTAGGCATATATCTTGAACTCCCTAATTGTGCTCCGACCATTTAATTGAGTTTCATTTTTTGTATGTCAACACAAGGGCTTAAAGAAAATTGTAAAACGTTTATAGGGTGGTCGCCACCCAACCCACATGGCTCTACCACGACAAACAATGACTTCAATTTTCATATGGAAATTAGACATGACAAAATTCTCCCATATTCATGAAATTCATCCCCTTGCTTGAATCCATTCTGAATAGGAGAATTTGCACTTTTCATCACCAATTTTTGGAAAAAGTAACAAATTTATAACTTTATTAGTCCTATTTGATGGCCATTATTTGACAAAAATAACATTTTGAACTGTGATTTTTTAGAGAATGTGTAGTTAAAAAATATGAATTTTTTTTATTTAAGTACAAAATATTTTATTATATAAATATGTGATTGAAAATAAGAATGCGGAGAAAAGAATTTTGAAATAATGATTGTCAAATATGGGCTTAACATAACAGATCCACAACATTTCAATTACAAAACTCATCACTTCGTCATTTTTTATTATTAAATGATGGATATGTCATCCTCTTTAAAAAAAACAAAAAACAAAAGAAAGCAATAAAATAAGGAAAAAAAAATGCAAAGAATTTCTACAACTTTTCAAATAGTACAAATAAATCCTACTTAAAACAACTTAATAATATTAACCAAAAAATTAAAAAATAAAGTATACATTTCATCTTACCAAGTCAACCTCACTATCCCACTTGAACCTCCATCCCATCCCATACCCCACCCCTCACCAAATCGATGACCAAACATCACATTTCAAATGAAATCAAATTAGCGTCGACGAAATCACCGCCTTAAAAAAATTAAGTCGCAAACCTAATAAAAATAAAAAATATATTTTTCTCTAAACCCTCTACTGTCCGTTTTAAAAAAGGTTTAGGATTCTCGTGACAAAATCTCTGCAATTTTATAATATAGGATAGATTTGCTATATTTCGTAAAAAATGAAAAACGAAGAGTATAAAATTTTCGAATGAATATTATATTTAACGTTGTTGTGCAATTTTTACCATGTGGCGTTGCATCTTTGCTCCAGCTATGGCGTACTCAGTCTGTATAGAAGCTAGTAGCTATATACGGAGTTGGATTATGAAATGAAAAATGGGCTCCTTTTTTCTCATTTGTTTTCCGCCAATTTAGTATTCTTCTTGATCATCATCATCATCGTAATCATAATTTCATATAGAGGAAAAGAAACAGTGGTGCTTCTCGTGATTTGCATCAATTTTTCTCCCCTCTTTCTGTCTCTCCCACTTTACAGTTTACACTCCTCTCTCTCACTTTACTTTTATTCAATTTTTCATTACGCCAATCCCACCCTTTCTCGTGTTGATGAAAAAATCTGTTCAAAAACTAACTATCTCCAACAATCACTTCTGTCGTTCGAATTTTAATTGCCTTTTTGAAATTTACGAAACCTTCCCTTTTTCTCCTCCAGAAAGATCCCTGAATTCTTTCTAAGGTACTGTCTTCGATTCTCTGTTTTTTTTTTCTCTCTATGGATGCAGGCATGTGTATGTGTGTGTGTTTGCAGCAGTAATTGTTTGGGTTTGTTTAGCTGCGCCTATATGTTTGGTTCTTGTCCTGTTTTGATACTGCCAACATAAAAAAGTGAGCCTATTTCTTGATTTATTTTTGTTTTATGCTGTCTTCATTGATTCCAAAAAGTGGGTTTTACAATTTTCAGATTCAATCCCATGAGAACTTCTAATTTTCCCCTTTTCCAATTCCCCCTTTTTTTTTGTAATCTTTTATTTTATGGTCTTTGTGTGTTAAAGGGTTCTCAATAATTAGCTTATGAGAATTCTACTTGTTTTTGTTATTAAGCATGAATTCTTCTTTAAATTCTTGAAATTAATTATCTAGAGAAGTGATGGGCGGAAATTAAATTAATATATGAAGAAAATATTTCCGAATTTCGGAAATGTATCTCTCTTGTGGATGGGGTCGTAGAGTTCTGACCTTGAAACTAGAATTTGATAAACTGAATTCTATTCAAGTTTCAATTGTTTCTTTAATTGTAATTTCGGGCCCTGATAGATGTTCCCAAATACTACGTAATGAGGTAATTTGTTAACTTGAATAACAGGCTTATATGGTGGTTGAGTGCATTTGAATTTTTCATAACATCTGTATTATTAACCTTTATTCTCTGTGATAACAAGGCAGTTAGTTCTTTGTAGAACAACTGTAACATACTTTATTTTGTACTGAATTAGTACAAAGTGGCTGACTTTAATTTCAAGTTGTCAACGGTTATGAAAAGCTAAGAAATGGGGGAGTCCTTTAGTGTAAAAATGGCTGAGTACATATTTCATTTCCTGCAAATTTGAGATTGTAGCAGATCTTGTATGTTGAATGCCATCAAGGGATCTTTACATGGCTGGATTTCAATGTTCAGCATGGTTAAGGACGCTTTGAGAAGATGTCTGTTTGTCTTCTGATTTTGGGCTTCTTTATATCCACAGCGCGTTATCTGAGATGGTTTGATTGAAGATTCAGCTACTGCAACCAAATTTAAAAATGATGGGTTCTGGCAGTAATGAAATTGTGGAGTTGGAAGAAGAAATGGATTCTAATTCTAATGTCAATGAAGATACATTAGGGAAGCCGTTGAAGAAATATTCTATAGGGGATGACATCAATAAACTATTTGAGGCAATAGACATTAGGAGTTCTCGTCGAGGTGCATGTCAATCTGAACAAGGTGTTAGAGATTCTTTACATAAAAGTGCCATGAAAAGGCCGATGAGAGTTAGTCCTTCTCATGCATCAGGTATTGGAATCTCAGAATCGGTGAGTCTGAAACAGGCTTTAAGAGGATTATGCATCTCACAAGCATCGGAGATGGCTGCAGTAAAGAAGCGATTGTCAAAACCATCAGCTTCTCCGAGAGTCTTAGAAGAAGGAGCTGTCACGAGGTTGTACAGGGCTGTAGTAATTGAGGCCGGTGAATCTGGTCAACCCCTTGATGAAGGCAAAGGAAATGTGGTGGAGATATCCTTTACACCGGAAAGAAGCACATCAAATATTTCAGACAAGACATCTCAATCTCGACATTCATCCATGGCTGAAATATCTCACAAAAATGCTCAGTCTTCTGATCATTCAGTAGATGCATTGATACAGGAGTCTAAAATAACAAAAATGATAACAAAGGATGAGAATGTTCCTTTTTCAACAAGTCATTGTCTTGAAGTGTCAAAATCTGATTCAGAGCAAAATAGGAAGTTGGAATCTCCATATTCTTCAATTGGCACTGTACATGACAAGAAACTCCGGGCGTTGGATGAGATAGTTCCCATCTCGGATGAGGATTCAATCGCGTCAGGTGGGTTGCTCAAGGAGCAGGAAGGTGAGCTGCATTCTACATCTTCATCATCAACATTTAATGCAGGAAGCAAGATCATTAAACCTTCGAATACAAGTTTTAGCAAACCACATATGAGAAGCCAAAACTTTGTCAAGAAGAAGATTGTGTCAAAACAAAATCCTGTTTCCTGCAGTCCCAGTTGCCAAACTAGTAAACTGGTGAATCAGGTACCTGACTCTGTCCTGAAAAATGGATATAAAGAAACGGATAAAGTATCACCAGCATCAAGTACTAATGGAAGTCTTGAAGTCTGTTCTACTGCACATGGCCTTGTCAAAACTAGAAGTATAGTGACAAAAGCTGATGAAAGATCAAGATCAAGGGAAAAAGGGGACCTCTCTCAAAGCTCAAAAAGTAGCATTGGAGAGTACAGTAGTACAACAAGCTATAGCGAGGAAAGCCATCTCAGTGGGTCTAGTCGCAGTGGCTATCGACCTCACATGTCAAAAGACTTGAGATGGGAAGCCATACATTATGCTCAGAAGCAGCATGGAAGCTTGTCTTTGAAGCATTTCAAGCTGCTGAGGAAGCTTGGTGGTGGAGACATTGGCAGTGTTTACCTTTCTGAGCTTGTTGATACAAACTGCCTCTTTGCCGTGAAAGTTATGGATAATGATTGTCTGGCTAGCAGAAAGAAGATGCTGAGGGCTCAAACTGAAAAAGAGATACTGGAAATGCTGGATCACCCATTCCTTCCAACACTCTATGCCCATTTTCTGACAAATAAGTTCTCGTGTTTGGTTATGGAATATTGTCCTGGAGGTGATCTGCATGTGCTCCGGCAGAAGCAACCTACCAAAAGTTTCCCTGAGCAAGCAGCCAGGTATATGTTTTAAGCTGTGTTGACAACTCATATGTTAGTTTGCTGTGATTCTTCTTAGTACCTTTGAATCATGAACAGCTGATTGCTTTTTGGCCAAAACAAATACTTGATGAATGTCTAATGGAAATTTGGTTCATATGTAGATTTGTTCTCGAAGTTGCATCTGAGCACATTGTGTGTCTTTGTCTGATTTGATTTTTATGGATTGGCCTGTCCTCATGTAGAATAGGTAGATTCACATAAATAGGAGAGTCCAGACTTGCATAAGTTGAATTAAGTAATGGATTGTGGGGGAGGAACCTAATTTTTATTGGAAGTTATCAGCCAATAATAATCACCTGTGAATAGGCAACAAGCAGAAACTATATCACGTAAAACTATATCACGTAAAAGGACAATGAACTCATTCATAAAAAGGACAATAAACACGTCAAACAAGGCAGTACTGATAGCATCTCAATTTGACGCTGCCCAGAATTTATAATAGCTTCATATGATGGCCTAAATTCTTTATGATATTATCTTACAAGACCTTGTATTGGTTCAATATATGTTCTAGTAAATGTTCTTGAAGGGCCCCAACAGGATTAAACCTAAGCAGGTAAAGATAGGGGATCCCCGTGTACCATCTTTAAATGTCACACACTTGAACTTGGTGCAAGGATGAACTTCCCGAAGTCCAAAATACATTCTTATACCCTGTCAAGTCAAGATCCCAAACTAACTGAATAACACATCAATAGTATTGAATTAAAAGTTTGTAGATCACAAAAGGTACATTATGTGTTTTTATTTGCTGGACGTTCTTTTCATTTATTGAACAAATTTGGCGTGCTTGCAACAGACTTCTGGGATTACTCATTGGCAGCATTCTTTGTCATAGAGGCAAGGTGTTTAACTATGATTGTCTTCTTTGGCAACGATGCTATGTGCTCACCATATTGTCTGATCTTTTGTGATACTTTATATGCATAGGTTTTATATTGCGGAAGTTCTTCTTGCGTTAGAGTACCTTCACATGCTTGGAGTTGTATACCGAGACTTGAAGCCTGAAAACATTATGATCAGAGAAGATGGTCACATCATGCTTTCAGATTTCGACTTGTCTCTTAGATGTGCCGTAAATCCTACATTACTCAAGTCGTCTTCACCTGTTGTTGGGCCTCCAAAAAAGATGTCTAGTCCGTGCTCAGATTCTAGCTGCATAGAGCCTTTCTGCCTCCATCCATCCTGGCAAGTCTCCTGTTTCACACCTGGGTTTTTATCTGCTGCAGCAAAAACCCGTAAACTAAAATCTGAACTAGCTGCCCAGGTCATCCCGCTACCACAGCTTGTAGTGGAGCCTACCAGTGCGCGGTCCAACTCCTTTGTAGGAACTCATGAATACCTGGCTCCAGAGATCATCAAAGGGGAAGGTCATGGGAGTGCTGTTGATTGGTGGACCTTTGGAATTTTTCTTTACGAGATTTTATATGGTAAGACACCCTTCAAAGGATCAACCAACGAGGATACTCTATCAAATGTGGTATCCCAATGCCTCAAGTTTCCTGGAAGCCCTATGGTCAGTTCTAATGCTCGAGATTTAATCAGGAGGTTGTTAAAGAAGGAACCAGAGAATAGATTGGGTTACGAGAAGGGAGCAGCAGAGATTAAGCGACATCCATTCTTTGACGGCCTGAACTGGGCTTTGATACGATGTGAAACACCTCCTGAGCTCCCTAGAGTCTTCGATTTGGGAAACCTTATCCCGGACACGACCTCTCAAAATAAGAGTAACAAATGCCAAACGGAATGCGAAGATACTGGAGATGGTATAGAATTTGAGATGTTCTAGCAAAAACCTGTGTTGAGAGAAATGTAGGTTAGATTTCTCCTCCTGACTTGAGCTTTCTCATATCCTTGTTGTAACAGATATAAATATATGGCATATAGTATTAGTGTACATGTATTCAGAAATCTGGGAGCATGCAAAGAATTGAATATACTGTTACAAAATAGAAGATACTTGGCATAAATTATCCTTTCATTTTTAGCATGTCCACTGGTATAGACTGTTTTGCTGATTGAGTGAACCATAAGAAAGATTCAAGTACTCATTTTTGTTGTTAAATATAAAACTCAAGAAACAGGTACTAATTTTCCTATTTGAAGAACAAATTCAGATCATGTTATTAGCTATAACAAGTTAGAATAATCCGTACAAAATTTTATTCATTTTCCTTGTTATAAGGTCCTGTGGTTCAACATGTGGTCTTCGGCATAATGATCTGAAATATGCTTACTGATCTTACAAATTCGACCTGATGTTCCTCGATTAAGTGTTTTATTTTTACAATAATCAGGTACGAGACCGAGAATGCCATACAGATAATCATCAGTAATAGGGCTTGAATAAATTATACGTGTGGGTGGATACAAAATACCAATCAAGGTTTAAAAAGGCGAAACTAAATACTGAGACAATTTTTCTTTATGAGGTGAGGCGTAAACCTCAAGGAGGATTGGAGCGTAAGCCTCACAAACAACAAAAAATCTAAGTAAAATAATTAATAAATAATACAAAAATACAAAAAAATCAAAGTTGGAGCATATATTGAATATGATATATAACCATTAGCATATTTAGATATAGTTCACCTAAAAAAATAAAATTTTTAGCAAATAAAAATAATATTATAGAAGTTAAAAATCACTCAATTTGCAATGAAAAAAAAAAGAAGCAGTTTAAACTAAAAAAAAACCTAATAGTCTAAACTATCATCACTATTACTAACATCGTTGATGAAATCATCATCATATCTAAGTTCCCCATCATCTTTCTAGGTATTTTATTGTTTTGTTTGGGCCCAAAATGCATTTTTTAAATGGACCCCTTTCTTTTTTAAGAATGATCATTTTTTTATTTCTTTTCATACAATTGAAAAATCAAATTTTAAATGAAGCACACGCCTTATGCTCTATGAGTGGGCGTGCGCCTCAGATTTAGAGGCGTGCTCATATTTTTAGCTTCAAAAATACCGCATCAAGGCATACTACATACACCGCCCCTCAAAGTGTGCCTCACTACCGTATTTTTAAACCATGAATTACCAAAATGTAAGAAGATATTGTTAATAATGTTGAAAGTCTTTGATACAAAAACAGTCAATAAGCCAACTGCTGCTGGTGAACTGTGCTTATGATGATACACTCGTACACATGAACACCGTTAATTCAATACCAGAATTATCTACTAGAATTCACCTATATACACTATGATAATATCACAAAACTCGTCCACTTTGAAATACTCCTCAAATTTGCATACCAGTTTAGAGATAAAGAAACAGGGAAAAGGGTATCTGTAACTATGGCCGAAACTATGACAAACTATAATTCAAGAGTGGAGTTTTGCACATGTCCCGACAATTGACTTCTTTCTCTTCTCCGAGTTCTGCAGTCACAAAAACACTGCCACCACAACTACAGTAACATGGCAGTAGCTGTGTTGCCACTTTTGATCTGACATTTTTTCGATGAATTTCAAATCACCAGTATAAATTCATATAATGAAGGACTGTTTTGGCCCTTTGCGCAAACGCTTTCTCCTTGGATTAGCAGTTAGAGCGAAAGAAAGGGCATTCATGAGCTCTGCATCCTCAACGTTAACTAACATGTTAGCTGCATTAGGGTTGGCGATGAGTAGTTTTGCCACTAGATATCCTGCAATAGACCAAGTCTGAAAATGGCGTGCCTGTTTCCCAATGAATCTAGCTCCTTTGGTGTCATAATATTCAGGCCACTTGTCTGTAGCTATACGTCTCTCGGCAACCTTGATTGCTTTTTCAGCAATCTCTGGTCTCTTCATTTTTATGCACGCCACAGTCAGCTGAAATTGGCACATATTTATGCATTAGAAGAAAATAATTACCAATGATTCCACAATGACGAGATGGCATCAATTGAAAATCACATAAGTAAAACCATATCAGGCATCACAATAGCTTTAGCTTCCTTAAAGTTACTTTTTTGTATAATCAATTAGTTGACCTTGCCAATTGCCATGGCAGTATAATAGTTGGATTAAACTATCTTCCCTTTAAGCTTCTCCACAGATTAAACTATCCAGTCATGGGAGCATACAAAGAAGTCGTTCTTATCTGAACACAAAAATTGGTATTGAAATGGACAATCTTGAAATATACTTTCTGGATGAATAATCTATATGACAATGACACAAAACACAGGCTGCAGGATTCAAATTTAAGGAGAGAAATGGGACTGGACACATAAAAGAAAGACTATCATGTGTCCTTTAAAACTAAGGGCTTATTTTTGCTGAACTAGTATTTTCTGCATTATCTTGACTTTGCACTGGTATCAAACCAACTACCATCCATTTTCAACTCAACTAAATTATTGATATATAATTTCAAGTGGAGGGAGCGTTATTTAATGACCACTTTACTGAAAAATTATAAAAACAAACCCAACCTGCCAGAGCAAAGTTGGCCAGGAGCCTCCATTGTGGTAAGACCAAGGACTGCATACAAAACCAATAATTACGTATCAACATACAGAGCAAAATGGATGACAAAACACCACAGCATTAATATAGTAACATTACGTGTTCTTTGGATCACTGCCTGTAATAATTCGCCATTCCTCGCCCTCAAGAGCAGGGTAACAAATCTTCAGTGGCATGCCAGCCACTAGATCTGACCATTTGGCGTCAATAAAATCTAGTATTGCGTGTGACTGATCTGTGGTTGCAAGACTGCTTATTATAGCCCAAAGGTTGCCAAGTGAAAAAAAACGGAAGTCCATATGAGCTGGTTGTAGGTTTCCAATAAGATAGCCTCCTCTGCGGGGCATCCACTCCACAAGCCAGGGAGGAATCTGATCAGGATAGATGTTGAACTTGTTAACTGCATCAAAGGAGTACTCCTCTGTCTTATAACGATAGATTTCATTTAATTTCTTCATGTCAATCCAATAGTACTCCCTGATGTGGAACGACATGGCTACTAGACGATTGTTAAGTGCCCTGAAAAGGTCGGCTGATGCTTCCTCTGGAGTAAGCATCTCACGGGAACAGAGTAGAGCTGAATAGAATAATGCCTGCCAATACAGTCAACAATTATGCTATAGCAAACCTTTTCGAAAATCATTGTAGCAAAAACAAACATGTATACGACTCTTATCTCTTTACATGGATTAGGACAAATATTCGTAGAATAAATACACAGTTTAGGTAGGTGAGTTTCACAGCCTAATGATTTCAACTTATTTGATTCACTACTTAATGGAAGATACTGAGCTTTTAATTTGTTGGATATTCAACAAATTAAACAGAAACATGTGATAAGCTTCATGGAAAATTTTCTCCTTCGACATCAACAAATTAACATCAGGATGAACATCTACCAAGGAGGATCAAGATGTTTTAGTAACTGGCCACTTGGGTCACAAAATACACTATAAGCATCAGCTGGAGGAGCATTTTGTCCTGTTGAAAATAATACACCCACTCAACAAGTCTTCACAGAACCCTGCTTTTTGGTGCTGTCTTACACACTTGCACAATGCCAAGGTAGCAGCAAATTCTATTCCAAGTACTCTAATAAGCTTTGCAGAATAATGATATTTTCAACTTGTATAAGTTTTAACCAAGAAGCACGTGCACAATAATTAGCTATTGACTTAGGGTGTGTTTGAGCTACGTTATTTTGGAAGAATGTATTTTGGAATAGTAGATTGATTGAGAATGTGGGGCTGAAAAAGAGGAAAAATTATTGATGTGATGGAAAATATTATTTTATGCAGTGAATAAATGTTCCTAAACAGTATCCTCCTTGCTTGTCTGACATAAAAATTATTCATCTCATTTTTTCCTTCATCTCACTATAGATTGCATGTCCTATTTTGCCCGACAGAAGAGTTAATGCCACAGTAATTGCTAAAGCTAAGACATTGGTAGCTTAATGTTATTGGAAACAGAAAGCAACTCAAAAAAATAAAAAGGCCCAGGTCAGCACATCAAAATGAAGAAACATTTATTAACTTCCAAAAAATACAATGATCATTTTCCGTATTAAGACAATCAAACTATAACTTCAGATTACAGAACGGAAGCAAGAATGAGAATAGAACTCTTCCCATGAACCAAACAGCACACATTCAGGCAGGGGGCATTCAGATAGGAGGGAAAGGAATGGTGTGACGACCCGAATCCTTGACTATTCGAGTGTCGCTAAGCCCCTGTTTGAGCCACATTATTTTTTTTATTATCATTATTCTATTTATTTTCAACCACATATTTTTCAATAAAATAATATTATCCATCACATCAATAACTTTTCCTTCTTTTCCAACCACATATTCCCCATCACATCAAACAAAAAAATGCATTCTTAGACTCAAAATATGCACCAAACAGGGGCAAAATAAAATTCGATTTCTTTTTTCAGGGGGAGTACTAATAATTGAAAATTAAAGAGAAAATACCAATAATTGTCCATAGTTTTTCATTTGTTTTATACAAAAGTAATGATAAAGAAATAAATTATTGTACCAGAAGTTTGAACTTTAAGAGAACGTATTAATAACCATCCACAGTTTTTCCCTTGTTTTTACAAAGGCAGTGATAAAGGGATGAATTATTGTACGTGGATTCATTATTAATCTTATTCATGTAATATGTGATTCCACAATATTGCAAACTTAATCTCTAGGTGAGTCATTCCCACTAAACTTAACATGCATTTAAAATCACATAGCTACCATCTATATATCTCATGGTTTCTACATTAGAGGTCTTCTATCAATAACATCATATGTATAATATTAAACACTTGTAACATTCAAAATTTCATATTGTTATTGATTTTTATGCATAACAAACCTAAATAAAATCATAAATAATATTCATATTTTGTCACGATATTCATGACTGCTATTTCGGGTAATAGACATGCTTTCATAAGTGAGATGACATGAATACTTAAAGTGCATACATACCTGGTACAAGGAAGTCGAGCCATGGATGATGGCATAGTGGCTAGTGACTTAGAACAACTCAATTCTCATTTTAAATATAAACTTATTTAAAAAAACTCATCATAATTATTGGACTCAAACTGATTCTTGGACTAAAGGTTTTATATAGTATTAGGCTATTTAGAAAATAAAGCACAACTAAATAAACCAATTCAAAAATGCACTCTTATAATATCAAATAAAAACCTCAATACCATATCAAATAAAAGCCAAAATTCCATACACATATTCTACACAAAATGATTCAGCCCATTAACGGGAATAATTAATTTTTTCATAACAGAAAATTTGTAAAGTTCAAAATTTTGAAAATATATGTTAAAAGTGTACACAATCGATTTTTTTTTTTTAAAAAAAAAAACTCTTAGCTCTAATACCAATTGTGACGACCCAAAACCTTGACTATTCGAGTGTCACTAAACAAAATTCGATTTTTTTTCATAGTGACTAAAATAGTAACAAGAAACGGTTTTACTCAATAAAAAAAGCAGTTTTTAACTTCAATCATTAATTGCGAAATCTTAATATTAAAAAATAATGCATTGACGTAAAACAACCTAAATAATGTCTTTAAAAAATGAAACTTAAAAGTTACGTTTCAAATACAATATAATTTATTAACCCTAGCCCGTTGCCATCTCCACGTTGACTGCCTTGAACCATCAATTGCCTGAAAGGGGAAATATCATAGAGTGAGATTTATAAAATCTCAATAAGTACGCCATGAATTATTATCGTGTATAACTTAAAGGAGCATAATAATCATAATCAACATAATGAAGAAACAAGAATTTTACCCAATATAGGTGGTAAGAATTCTTATGTGTAGCGCTACTAAACTCCGGTCTCCTTAACATAATCATAGATTATTGTACCATAGGGGACCCATAATAATTTTCTTGAAACATAATAATAATTCAAATATAGGTAGCGTACTTACCATGAAATTTAAAAGAAAGAGTAATAGAGACTGAATAAAATTACTTGATCGCTCTTACAATTTCCGCCTAGGCTAGTGCTTGTATATGTGTATATTATTTGGACTAAAAAAATAATAGTGAGTGGTAGCATGTGAATGTAAATGAGGGGCTCAAATAGGACAAGACTAAGCATGCATCATTAAGGAAAAACCCATGATGGTGGAAAGGTTATTAATTCTAGTATTGAAAATTGTTCCTTGAAATTTGTGAAATGGGCAAGAATCTCTCCCTCATTCCTCATGTGAAAACTACATTCTATATACACGTGCATTCACACTACACATTACCTTATGTTTGATTAATCATGAATATGACAAAAAACATGTATCAAGGATTTCTATATAAAGGTTTGACCAAGCATTCAACCCTTTTTCAGATAGCAAAACTTGTGGGAATTAGAATTTATACTAAGTTTGCTACAAGGTCCTAGAAGATGGATTAACCCTCAAATGAGCCCCTAAATTTTCAATTCTCATAGTTAGACCCAGAAATTCGGGTGTGGGTGTTATAAATGGAGGAGATGAATGAGCTAGATAAGAGAATACGGAAGGTCTATTAATGACTCATACTTCTAGAGAAAAGAAAAGAGAAGAGAACCTGAATTTCCAGTGGGTGACCATGAATACCCATGCGACGATCTATCATGCACGAACCATCTGTCACTAACAGAGTTGGAAACATGTCAAAACCATCTGCCAAACAAAGCTTTAATATCATCTTGATTCCAGTTTGCACATCAATTCTTTCCTGAACTGAAGTGTCTCCAGAGCATTTTCCATATGCCCGTAATAATATGATCCACCACAAACCTGGGAAACAAACTCATTTTGTTATATATGTTTAAAATATTCACAATGCGCAGATCAACGAATCATCAACTAACCAGAATCAACTGGTGCAACCCGACCAATTGCTGCCTCGCCAAAGTCGGGATCTAAGACCTCTTCAGTTGCATCCTCATCACCATCAAGTGGAACTGTACGCACTTTGAAGCTTGCTGGCATCAATCCTTGTCCAGGACTATGGCAATCCATGGTTTTCTCCCAGCTCTGGCGAGACCACGAAAGAGGTTTAACAAAATGATAGTATATATAAATTGGAAATACATGCAATTTTATAAACAGCATTACCCTAGCAAAATCTTTCATATTATCTACGTAATGTGAGTCAAAAATTATTTTCAATTCAATTTATCATTTATTATTAACCATACCTTGCAGAAGGGTTGGGGAAAAGATGGATGCTAAATGCTTAATTTCTTACGACATTATTCTTCTAGAAGCAAAAAGAAGAAAAATGAGAAACTACGCGCACGCTACTGTTCAGTATGAATTTAACCTGATTCAAAAGCTTTGCACTTACTACATAGAGGTATTTATATATAAATCAGAGTAACAAAACAAAGAACCTGTGTATAAAAGTATATCAGCAGGGAAACTAAAAAAAAATGACCTGACATGTTAAAACGGTATCAACCACCGCGTATCATGTAATGATGCTAGTGATGCATGCTAGGATGAACAGTGACAAACAAGAAAACAACCACCGTGCGTACAGGTACATGTTATACTGAAAAGATGGCTCTTAAAGATCGAAATCAAGTTATAATTTGTTATCCAGATATAAAATGGCACAACAATGTAGACCCTAAGGAATTATTTACTTGCTTTTAGTTCAATTTAATAATTTAAACAAAAATATTCCATACAGAATATGTACCTAAATTTTAACAAACCACACAACTGATGCAAATATGTATGTTTCAGGATGAACACCTGCAACTGAAGAGTGTGAAGGATGAAGTTCCGAACGATTTCGTAGTCTCCTTTTAATAGGAAAGCAATCCCAGATGGTATGAAATCACGGATAAACACTTGATCATAGTTGAGCGTGTTTGAGTTACTTGGATCATTGGCAGCAATGGTGCCAACTGGATTGCCACAATAATGGACGATGGACGCATGCAACAAAGTCCATGCTTCATCCTCAATAGAATTTGCCCCAAATATATTTGATGTAGGAGCTGTCAACCCATCATCTGATAAAAGATTTCCATTTTCATTTTTCAAAGGCTGCCCCAAAACATTTTGAAAATTCAGGTTATTGGCCAGACCATTCACCAATCTCCCACTTCCATCTTCTAGAAAAGCCTCCCTATTATTTTCAGTCTGGCTGCATTTGCAACGAAAGGACTCTGACTGGGTTTTTTTCTTCTCTCCTTTAAAAAGACCATTTAAATTTCTTATTTCATGGTTTCGAATGTAACTCCCATCACGTCTATCCTTTCTACTTTTGATGCAATTTATAGAAGAAAACTTCAACCTCAAATTTGTGTGGAACTGCGGTGCAAATGTTCCAGACAGAATTTGCAGGGCTGCTTCTGAAGCACCCATGACAATAAGAATTTAGTAATCCCCCTGGTTAAAAGATGGATGTACTGTACCTATAAAACTCAAAATTCAATCTATAAGTTATATTAACATATACAAATGAATAAAGGTGTTTAAACTCGAACGAAAACTTCACCATCATACTAGAGATGCTAAACTAATAGATCACGAATTATGTTAAGTAAATTAACAAAACCACCTAGAAACAATTGATATATTTTATTTCGAAGGACACTACAATTAATATATTTCAATATTTAACCGAAACCCTTCTAGAGTTACTAAAAAAAAAACGACAAATGATCAATGTGAAAATATCAAATATGAAATAAAACACGAAAAACTAAGAATTCATTTGCTCACGTGATTTATGAATTTGAGTTTAATCGCAGGATGATTTCTGAATTCTTCACGAGAAATTATGGGTTTAAGGAGGCTGCGGAGGGTCCACTGGCGGTGGGCGGTGGTGCTCTACGACAGAGAAGCTCAGCTCCGGTGGAATGAACAAATGGTTAGGTTTATCGTTTTTGAGCAAGAGTAGTGCAATTCATAATCGGCTGCTGTGGCACATTTGTGATTTGATGCGATAATTTTATCCTATTAATATATTAAACACATACTTAACATAACATATATGTGCATATGTGTCAGAGAAACACTAAGATATGTGTGCCATACCGTTTAAAGAGTGCAAATAGCATTGTTCTTTCAATAATACCCACTGTACGTGATGACACATGGTTCTTGATTGGTCAACCCTAGGATTGATAGATAATCGGTACATCACACAGCACCACCTGGCAAGCTTATTGAAAAATATCAATTATTTGTGGGTTTTGAAAGACGTAATTTGATTTTTGTTTCCAACTATTCTCTCCTCGAGTTTCCGTAAAAAGTTACTTTTTAATAAATGAATGAATGATTGATAAATAAATAATATTTATAAATTACTATTAAGATTAAAGTTTGATTTCAAAAAGTAATTTTAATGGATTAATTTCACAAACGATTACTGAAATTATGCGAAAATAACAAAACGATCACTAAAGTTTAAAACTTGCAGAAACGATCTCTAAAGTTTCATGCGGTTTCAAAAATGGTCACCGAAGTTTCATGCAATTTCAAAAACGATCACTAAACTAAGTTTCAGTACTATTATGTTTTAATTCAAACCTAAAGCACCAAAACACAAGGACATGGAAGTTGGAGGACCTCAAGTGCAAAATTCAACTTAAAATCTTCCAAACCCAGACCACCACTTTTCGTGCCCCATTCCACCACATTGTGGCCACCAAAACCACTGAACCAACACACTATCTTGAAGCCCTTGCTTCCCTCTACGCAACCTACCTAAGAATCGCCCCTACCTCCGACGGTGGTGGCCGAAATTTCGTCCCAAAGTGGGCCTTTCGCATCGTCGACAATTTTGTGCTGTATGAGAGGCCTATTTTTGGACAAAATTCCACCACTTTTTGTCCAGTAAAACCATGGGACCAACACACCACCTTGAAACCCTCGCTTTCCTCTACATAACCCATCTAGGAATCATCCCTAAATCCTTCGAAAAGTGGCTGGAATTTGGTCCCAAAATGGGCTGTTCGCACAGCAAAAACTGCCAGCCGCCACTTTGGGACGAAATTTCGGCCACTTTCCGACTGATTTTGGAGCGATTCTTGGGTGGGTTGCGTAGAGGACAGCAAGGGCTTCAAGACGGTGTGTTGGTCTGGTGGTTTTGGTGGCCTAAAAGTAGTGGAATTTGATCCCAAAGTGGTGGCTGGCATTGCTGTCATGTGCGAGCTAGCCAATTTGGGACGAAATTCTGGCTAGTTTTATTCGAATTTAGGAGCAATTCTTAGGTAGGTTGCGTAGAGGACGACGAGGGCTTCAAGGTGGTGTATTGGTTTGATGGTTTTTGGTGGATGAAAGTGATGGAATTTCGTTCAAAAGTGGGTCTCTCACACAGCACAAAACTGCCGGCTGTGCGAGAGGCCCACTTTGGGACTAAATTTCGGCCACCACAGTAAGAGATAGGGAAGGTTCTTGGGTGGGTTGCATAGAGGGAAGCGAGGGCTTCAAGATGGTGTATTGGTTCGATGGTTTTGGTGGCCGAAATGTGGTGAAATGGGGCGCGAAAAGTGGTGGTNTGGGTGCGAAAAGTGTTGGGCTGGGGTTGGGAGATTTTTAGTTGAATTTTGCACTTAAGGTCCTCCAGCTTCATTGTCCACGTGTTTTGGTGCTTTAGGTTTGAATTAAAACATAATAGTACTGAAACTTAGTTCAGTGATCGTTTTTGAAATTGCATGAAATTTCGGTGACCATTTCTGCAAGTTTAAACTTTAGTGACCGTTTTGTTATTTTCACGTAATTTCAATGGTCGCTTGTGAAATTAACCCAAGTTTTAATTTAAAAAAAAAAAAAAAAGCTCAAGTTCAAAGGTATTTTTCCAATAATAATTGATAGTTGTCACCACTTTATAAAATAGACTTATTTCTATTCCCGCATATTAAGAAAACATAATTGAAAATACTTCATATGTCTCATTTATATAGACTGATTTTGTTTTTCACACATATTAAAATTTTTTATTTAATGTTATTTAAAAAATAATTTTTGCCAAAAACTTTCATAATTTACCCTCATTTAAATATCATCAACTAGTAGTAAATTATTGTTGGAGGTAGTAAATAAATTGAATGATTTAATTTTCAAGAATTAGATATCTTTACATTTGTAAAATTTCAAAATTAAGTGGGGAAAATTGGTTATAGCTAGGCAAATAAGAGTATATTAGTAAACGAACAAAACAAAACATTCTCAATAAAGATACATGGCTATATAATTGACCAAGAATTTAAGAAAATTCAGCATATATAAACGGGGAGGGAGAGTGTTTTACTTACATTTTTTCCTAATATATTCCTACATTAACTAATAGTTCAAATAGAAGTACACTACCATTTCCAATACCATGACCCACCTAGAGTGCGTAAATGGTTGAAAAGAGTAATGCTATATAACGCACTCATACAACACAAATTTAGTGATATCACTCCGTGATATAGTCAATTATATGTTGAATTATATGATTCATTTAATTTCACCTCTCATTTCACATAATAACACTTAGAGCTTGTCTGTTTATGATTCCTTGCAAAAATTTCATTGCTTTTGTGAGCGTTGGAATAGGAGGCAGCACACCTTATTTGACTTCCTATCTCCTAAATGGGTCCCATTTGCTGAAAAGAAACGGCTACAAAATTGATTTTTTGGAACAAATAATCAGCAACAGACAAGTCCTTAAACTGATCGCACCAATTGTACTAGATAACATTATTGGGTATGAAATTGCCAAATTGGCACTTCATGTCTCCAGTCCACATCATGTGCAACAAATAAGATTTGAATCTCACCCCATGAAGGCGATGATACAAAACTTACAGATGAGGTAACAGCAATTCAAGTGTGTAGTCACATGAATGGGTAGCAAAAGCATAGCTAGTAAATCTTACCTGCACAAAGTAATTCTTCTCCATTTTCTAAGGAATATGAGAAAGTTAAACGGATACTTATATTTCAATTGTATTCCAAGGAAAACCAAATGAAGGGAAATGCAATCAAGCCATTGAGGACGAAGAACATCATCCATTACTCATAACATGTCCGAAAAGCATACTTCAAGAACAAACTACTTTGAAATCAATGAACAGAAACATATCCTCATTCCTTCTTCCCGATCCCATGAGACATGTTATAGATCCCTCTTCCCTGAACAACAATCATCAAGAACGATCAGGTCAAACTCAATTGTGGATAAAAATAGCCTAAACGCTTAAAAGCGCAAGATTAACTCACGATCATATATAAAGAAGTAGCAGCCAAAGCAAAAGGAATGGCAACTGAAGTAATCTTATCGTATGGTCCTTTCAGATATGTGTGTTTGTGGATGCTCTGAAAAAACTTTTGCTTCTCAACGAGCTTTTCCCTTGGCCTAAAGGGCTCTTCAGACATCCTGCATTATTTATTTATTCTTCAACCATTCAGATCTATTCCTCAAAACGAAACTTCTTGATAAAAAGGAAATCGAATAATCAAAAGACTCATTGCAACTTCTCAATCTACCGAGTAAGTTTCATGTTAACAAGAAGAAGTCAGATATGCACTTCAAAGCTTTATCCAAGTCTTATATTTTGTTTTTCTTCATCCCGATAGGTAGGCGTAGAGATAAGATTGGCAAATGATAGTTGCTCAACCTTTAAACTGAAATGGACATGTTCTATCCTATGGCATTATTTTAAGTACAAGAAATTAGTAGTAAAAATAAACAAATTTCATTTTCGTTTTTCCTCACTGTAATAACAGCATTTTCTATACTCAATTCTTAACATCAGGATGCCAAATACTATCCAAACATGGAATTGAGATTCAACAAGCTATACCAAAATCCCCAACATGCAAAATCCAAGGAAATACATTCGCGCAAACTACATATTCTCAAAGATACGAACATCGAACAAAAATTAAAAGCAGAAAAGAACTGAAAACCTAGATCTAATATAGAGTAACGAGTTCAAAAGATCAAATATCCGTAAACAAGAACGAATCCTAGATACTGACAAATTTACTGCAAGGCCAAGAATGATAAATTTTGGGAACAAAAGTATGGTCAAGATTAGGGAGAAATATAAACTTGCCTGACTGTGAGTTGAAAAGGCACGAAGTAGCAGAGACTGTAGAGGCTGGAACACAGTAGATGATAATAAGAAAGTGCCAAGAATGGCAATCGTAAAGGGTTGAAAATTGTGAAGAAATGCCGGTCAGACCGGTGAGTTTCTTCCAGTCTGATTACTGTTCAGGAAGCAGACCTGCTGTCAAGGACAGAACAAATGGAACTTTACAAAAATAGCATCTATTGGGTCCAGAACTTCATCTGTAGTACTCTATTGTACACTTCTACTTGCAGCAGTGTTTTTTTTTCTATGACTCTTTTTAGGGAGGGGATGTTTTACTTTTAGGTAGAGGTGGCAAAAGGTTTGAATAACTCGTCATAGTTCGGTCCATGGATAACTTGGGCTAGTTTCAGAATGAGCTCAAGCACGAGCCGAACAAGGCTCGACTCGTGGACACGGGCCATGAGCCTAATGTTCACAAACCCACGACCTCTTGGGCTCCTTAAAAAAAAATTAGAGCTCGCAAGCTCGGCTCGGCTTGTGAGCTCACAAGCTTGTAGGTATATGGACTGAGCCGGCTCTGTCCAGTGCCATCACTACTTTTAGGCATTATTTTTATCTCTGCATTTTGATGACATCGTATTTTTGACTCGTAGTTCATCAATTCTAGATATAAAGTGAGCCATACCGGACTTGAACCACCAATTTTTTTGGCTTTTGACTGCAAGTTTCATAACAATGGCATGGCACAACATGACCCACAAATTTTCTTGGATGGAGCCGTGTTGGGCTTCTTTTATTGTGAACGTTTACTGAGTAAATGGTCAAAATTCTACTCATCACCATTTTCAAATGCATGTGCAAGTCAAGAATTTAGTTGAACTTTTACATGAGATTACCATCAAGTTACTAGTAAAAGTTGAAATCTAAAAGTCAAAAGTAGAGCTGCCAAGAAGGATCTTCATATAATTTTCCATGCAAAGCAACTCCAAGAGTCAAATAAAAGCACTGGAAAAAACACTGAATAAGACCTTTTGGAGATATGAACTATTTCATGTTTCACAATTAATTAAATTTACATGTAAAAATCAAATTAGTTTTCAAATGTGAATACGTGATATCAAATTGTCATTGGAACTGACCCCATCTTTTTTAAATGTTGTGATTGAGTACTGTAGCCATACATGGAATCCAATGTTCGATTTTAGGGCCCTCCAAAGATCCAAAACTCGATCATCGTGGAATGAGTTCATTTTCTAAAATTTAATTGCCGACTTTTATGAGATTCTATGCTAAAATTCATTTTCATATTTATATTTTTGTTATATCACTATTTCACATGACGTACATGAGTACATATGACAAGTAAAATAGGCTTACTCAATAGTTATTTAGGCAATTGTCTCCTTTTTAGGCCTCCGAATTGATTTGAAGCTATACACAAGTCGGCCACACAATAGTCCTACAAGTGATACCACGGTATAATCAAAATCCAGCACAAACCGATCGATTGATTATTATGGGTCAATTGTGTCGTGATAATGAACACAAAACTTGGTAGCGAAATAATACTTGACAAGGGCAATAAAGGTGACGCAACTTTCACTAGCCACAACTCTTCATATTTCTCTATATATACATTGTTCATATGCAATGCATCTTATTGTCTACCACAATTGTTGCACTTATTACGTTTTGTCAGAGATTGTAATGTGTTCTCTTATTGTGTGGATGCATACAACTGGACACAAAACTTAACATGGTCCATTGATGAATCATACTACATGTACAACATTGGTTCACAACATTAGTTGACAACATCCTATTTGGCATCATCATATCCATCCATTTTAAAAAACTGTTTTCTACATCACATGCTAAGATTTTGACAACTCATGGTTGTCAACCATTGTTGTCAACAAATGTTGTACACTTAACTTTATTCGTCCATTGATAGCTGGATTCAACATGATCTTGAAATCAATGCAATTATGTTTGAATAATCACTCGAAAAGACAAAAATATTAAAGAATTGAATGTTACATATCCTACAAAGAAGAATTTTACAAAATTTTAGTAATTCTACTATCGGATCACCATCCTGATTTAGATACACACAACATTTATGATTATCAATTTAAATGCACGGCCAAGATTTCAAGTATTGTGAGAAATTGTATGATACCAATGTAGTTGCATGGAAAAGATGTTGTGACTTTTAATAGAAGATAAAGAAATTAGAAGTATGACCTTCTGGATGTAAAAGACTTGTTAAAATGGGTTCGTTTGACCATAAATAAAGCAGCAACGGTCAAATATGGTGAGAGCTGAAAATTGCATAGCCAAAAGTTAATAACAATATATTAATTAAAATAATTTGTACGTGGATGTTATGAGATGTGTTACATGTGCATATTTGATCTCTAGTCGATATTTTTCCGTTTGATTTGAAGGATTAAGCTGTTAGATAGGTAAAAATATATATTATTCAAATATTAGTCACAATTCCTTTTTTTCATCGAAGTATAAAATGCGTACAATTTATTTAAATAGGTAGCATCGAGACTTAAATTTAAGATATTTGTCGCTTTGATAACGTGTTGAACCCTTTGAGAGTTAATACACTAAATAGTCACCGAATTTTGCCAAAAGTTCCCAAGAGATCACCGAACTTCAAAACTTTCCTAATTAGTCACTGAAGTTTGAAAAAAATTTCTAAGATGTCACTGAACTTCAAAACTACCCTAAGTAATCACTAAATTTTGTTAAAACTCCTTAGGAGGTCACCGGACTTTGCAAATTGTGACCTCATACATTAATGATTTAGTAACCCTTAAGAATTTTTTGCAAAGTTAAGCGACTAATTAGGGTAGTTTTGGAAAAGTTCGATGACTATTTAAGGTAGTTTCGAAATTCAGTGACCTCCTAGGAACTTTTTGCGAAGTTCTGTGACTAATTAGGGAAGTTTTGAAGTTAAGTGACCTCCAATGAACTTTTAACAAAGTTTAGTGACTATTTAGGGTATTAACCCTACGAATAGAAAGAAAAAGTTTTGGAAAAGTTCAGTGACTATTTAGGATAGTTTCGAAGGTCAGTGACCTCCTAGGAACTTTTTGCGAAGTTCAGTGACTAATTAGGAAAGTTTTGAAATTCAGTGACCTCCTGAAAACTTTTAGCAGAGTTTAGTGACTACTCAGGGTCCAACCGTTTGATATAAAAGTATGTATATTATTTAAATATCATCTCCAATACGTGATAGATAGGGCTGACGTAATGTCAAAATTGAGGACTTTTTTCCCGAGCCTAAAAATTCTTGTAACTCGCCCATAAATATGGATGGGTCCTTGATGCACGATCGAGTGGAAGTAATAGAAAATTGGAAATTAACAACGGTCAAATTCTGGCTATTGCGCGATAGGCCAAAAGCACACTGCACTCAAATCTCAATCTCAATAATTAATCCAATGTTAGTTAATTCGTGAAATCTTATCTTCATTGGTTGACATAGTGTTTGAAAACTCAACAAATTGAGCCAAAATTAAGGTCAAAGTTAAAAAAAAATGTGATTTACGACTTTAATCAATTTTTCAATTACATATTTCATCGAATTTTATTTAAATCTTTGTCAAACAATTCATTAATATTAGTTGTACATGTTACAAAAAGTTGTTTTATCTCGACATAGGTAAATAATTCAAGATTCGAAGTTTGATTATGTTTCAAGCGTAATTTCGTAATCTTTTGTGTGAATATAATTATTTTGAGTCAAATTTTGTGAAAAAATGAGATTTTTATTGTCCAAGGGCCGTTTGACTCAAGTTATTTTCCCTGGAGCTTTGGAATTTATTTCCAAGTTCCAAGTTTTTTGTTGTTTGATGGCAAAAATTTTCTTGGCAAAACATTTTCCACAACGTTACCCATTTTCCATGTTTTGAATTGGTTTTCCGATCAAAGTGGTGGGAAAATGGTTCCCAAGTTTTTTTTTTTTTTTTTAATTTTTTTTTTT